GCAGCTTCTTAATTGGCTCCAGGTGTCCTAATTAGCCTGCCTGCCTTAACTGGTTCTAGCAGGTTCCTGATTACTCTAGTGCAGCCCCTGCTCTGGTCACTCAGGGAACAAAAAACTACTCATCCAGTGACCAGTATATTTGCCCTCTACCAGACTCCTGTACCCCACTGGTCTGGGTCTGTCACAATAGTTAAGACCAAAGCAGACTGCGAAGAGCTACAAAGGGATCTCTCAAAACTAGGTGACTGGGCAACAAAATGGCAGATTGAATTTAATGTTGATAAATGCAAAGTAATGCACATTGGAAAACATAATCCCAACTGTACATATAAAATGATGGGGTCTAAATTGGCTGTTACCACTCAAGAAAGAGATCTTGGAGTTATTGTGGATAGTTCTCTGAAAACATCCACTCAATGTGCAGTGGCGTCAAAAAAGCAAACAGAATGTTGGGAATAATTAAGAATGGGATAGATAATAAGGCAGAAAATATCATGTTTCTATATAAATCCATGGGACGCCCACATCTTGAATACTGTGTGTAGAAAAGGGCAACAAAAATGACTAGGGGTATGGAATGGCTTCCGTATGAGAAGAGATTAATAAGACTGTTTCTTTTCAGCTTGGAAAAGAGACGACTAAAGGAGGATATGATAGAGGTCTATAAAATCATGATTGGTGGGCAGAAAGTAAATAAGAAAGTGTTATTTAATCCTTCTCGTAACACAAGAACTAGGAGTCACCAAATGAAATGAATAGGCAGCAGGTTTAAAACAAACAAAAGGAAGTAGTTCTTCACACAATGCACAGTCAACCTGTGGAACTCCTCGCCAGAAGATGTTGTGAAGGCCAAGACTATAACAAGGATAAAAAAAAAAAACTAGAGTTCATGGAGGATTGGTCCATCAATGGCTATTAGCAAGGATGGGCAGGAATGGTGTCCCTAGTCTCGGTTTGCCAGAAGCTGGGAATGAGCAACAGGGGATAGATCACTTGATGTTTACCTGTTCTGTTCATTCCCTCTGGGCACCTGGCACTGGCCACTGTCGGAAGACAGGATACTGGGCTAGATGGACTTTTGGTCTGACCCAGTATGACCGTTCTTATGTTCCTCTCCCCCACGAATAGTGGGGCAGCAGGTATTGAGTGTTGGACCCTTGCTCTTTCAGGGGCCGGTGACCTTCGAGGAGGTGGCTGTGTATTTCACCAGGGAACAGTGGGCTCTGCTGGACCCCATTCAGAGAGCTCTCTACAGAGATGTCATGCAGGAGAACTATGAGATTGTGACCTCGCTGGGTAAGGATTCCCATCCCCTCGGTTATTAGAAGGGGAAAGGAAGAGTTAATGTTCACAACACCCCAATATGCCACCTCTGTTCTGCCCTGTTTCAGCATCACCCCAACATGCCAGTGGCGCACACACTACCAGAGACCCTCCCCTGCTGCAGAACACTCTGGGAACAGAGCACAGGCGCAGTACAGCACAAAATCTAACACAGTCTCTTTGCAAAGGCCAAATTTGGATATAGGTCCAGTGTAACAAACAGAAGCTTCCGACCCCTGGCCGGCACTCAAACACTGAGCCTACTGCACACGCACCAGCTCAGCCTTGCAAAGCAATACCACTCTGCAAGCCTGCGTGGTCGTCTCTCTGGGTCTAGCCCTGGGGGAGGCCATGCTTCCTCGCTGTCCAGCCCTTAGCACTGCAATCAATTAGTGGGGAATTAGCAGCCTTTAGACTGCTCAGTCCACTTGATCCTGGCTGAGCAATAGTGAGTCTATGAACCCCTGCCCTCAGGCAGGACAGGGCAGCAAGTAGTCAGGGTCTCTGGCAAGGCCTTCTGGCCTAATGTGGGGAGGCGGCCACCCCAGGGGTTGGAGGGTTAGGGGGACCCAGGCCCACCCTGCTCTACCGGGTCCCAACTCAGGGCCCTAACAGTGGCAGAGTGTTGCACCACTGGGTAAGTGGGGATCCACCCACAACACACTAACCTATCAGGCCAAAGCCCAACCAGAGGGTCGTCTAGTTTCCCTGGGCTACTTCCTACCGCCCCCGAATTTGGTACCTCCATGCTGTAGGTGTCCTGTGTCTCCCTGGGCTGGGTGGTCAGCAGTAGCCCCAGGCGTTTGTCAGCACAAAACTCTGGCCAGGCATCCAGCGGCAGTCCTGGGAGCTCCTTCTCAATGTCCTGCCCCAGCAACAGGGGGGAAGCGTCCAGCGACAGCGCAAATAAGGGCTTCTGTCCGGTGGGATGGGCATGGTTCTGAAGCCCAAGGGGTGGGTTACGGCCCTCCGGGTCTAACTCTGAGGGAGGCCATACCTCCTCGCTACCCACTCCCCTCTCCTCCCCTCCCCGTGAGGTTTCCTTCGGAGTCGTTGTCTTCAGTTTGCCATTGATCGACCTTGGAGTCTTCTAGCACATATGCCCCCAGGCTGCTGGCAATCTCTGTGACAAGAACACGCCCTTGTGCACCTTCACTGACACAACCTGCAACACGCAGCATGGGAATGAGGCAGGCTGGGTCCCTCAGGGTTCACATGTACCTCTCTTCATCCCACAGTCTCAGCTCTGCCAAGCTGCTCCAGCTAATCCATCCTCCTTTCAATTACAGCTGACACACTGTACACAGCTGGAGGGCATGTGGATAAATGCCGATGTTCCAATCTGTGGAACACAACACAAACAATGGCATGTTCTTAGTCCTTCCTTGTGTCTATTGTAGATTCATAGATTTTATGGCCAGAAAGGACTATTCGTTCATCTAATTTGGCCTGCTGTATAACACAGGCTACAGAATTTCATCCAGATACTGCCTTGTGTTTGACTAAATCATCTTCCGGAAAGACATGCAGTCTTGACCTGAAGACTTCCTGAGATGGAGAAGATGCCACTGACCTTTGTAGTTTGTAAACCTTTGCACCAGCCTTCCTGAACTGTTTCCAGTGGCTAGTGCCAACTCAAGGATTAGAGAAGGGCAGAGTTAAGGTTGTGTTGCAGGTATGGCATCATTTTCTAGTTTTCAGAAGTTTAGGTTTTAGCTCCCATCCACATGCTGGGAGGACATGAGGCCGCACTGGGCAACCTTAACTCTGCATTAATGTACTTTATGGGTATTTTACCCTGATTTTTTAATGGATTTTTTGCCACTATAACTGTGTCTACCTTACAGCTTTTCCTGGCACAGCTGTGATGGTTAGCGGTGTGATTTTTACACCTCTAGCTGCCAGTGCTATGCTGGCAAAAGTTGTAAGTACAGACCAGGCAAGACTCTGCATGTGGACTTTAGAGCACTTTAAAATAGGTCTCTGAACCCACTTATTTTGTAATCAGAGGGGAAAACTTCCAAGAGGAACTTCTGCAGAATGCAAGAAAAAGGCACAACACACATTGCCTGAAACTATCAGCAGTCAGGCTCCATCTCAAATTCATGGGTGTGGTTTAGGTTCAATGGCCGCAGCATAGACCCTCTTGACCCACCCCAAAGAGGCAGTGGGGGCTACGTACTACCTGAGAGAAATGCCAAGTGATGGAGATCAGTCTGGGGACAATGAGAATTGGCGTTTCAGCCCCAGCTGTGTGTAAGAAAATATGACAAAAGGAAGATGATTTTGTAAAAAGCTGCCAAAGCGGGGGGGGGGGGCGCTGTATCTTAGGAACCTCTTTAACAAATCTCCCCATATTTGACCCACTAACCCTTCCCTGAATGCCCATGAAAAATGTGCCCTGCTAATTTCAAGAGAATCCCAATAAACTTGTGGAAGTTAGGGGAGTTAGAATAGGTGGCTTTTAAACAGAAAATAATGCTTCCGTCGAGCTAGCTACTGCCTTCCACGGAGGTGGAAGACCTACGCTGATGGGAGAACCTTTCTCATTGCTGTAGTGAGTGTCTACACTGATGCACTACAGCAGGACAGTCGCAGTGTCTCCAAGTGTAGACAAGTCCTGAGATACGACATTCAGTGACACCCCTGTCCCTCCTTTTCCTTACTGCACTGAATCCCACCAGCCTGTGCTCACCAGTCCTGGCTTTCCTACACCTCTCCCATTGTCTCAGTGTTTCTCTCTGATTAAGAAGCAGATCCAGGGTGACTTCCCCTCTGGCTGGATTCTTTAATTCCTGGAACATGGAGTTACTGACTGTGTTTTAGGAGCCGCATTTCCAAGAAGGCCAACGGCATATTGGGCTGCATTAGTAGGAGCATTGCCAGCAGATCGAGGGAAGTGATTATGCCCTTCTATTCAGCACTAGTGAGGCCACAGCTGGAGTATTGTCCAGTTTTGGTCCCCCCTCTACAGAAGGGATGTGGACAAATTGGAGAGAGTCCAGCGGAGGGCAACGAAAATGATCAGGGGGCTGGGGCACATGACTTACGAGGAGAGGCTGAGGGAACTGGGGTTATCTAGTCTACAGAAGAGAAGAGTGAGGGGGGATTGGATAGCAGCCTTCAGCTACCTGAAAGGGGGTTCCAAAGAGGATGGAGCTCGGCTATTCTCAGTGATGGCAGATGACAGAACAAGGAGCAAGTTGCAGTGGGGGAGGTGTAGGTTGGTGTAGACATCCCAGGGAGGGGCTGGTCCCTCATGGGGGCGGCTGGGATCCAGGCTGCCTCACTACCCGAGGCGGGGAGCAGTTCAGTCTTGCGTGCCCAGGCCTAGGTTGGGCGGGCAGCCAACCATAGTACAGGGCTCAGTCCCTCGGGCAGGGAGTGAGCAAACAAACAGTAAGTTCAGGGGCTCTCGCCCTCAGGCAGGGAGGAGGAGAGACTGCCACCCAGCGTGGGGTGGCAGGGGGGAACACAGGCCCACCCACTCCACTGTGTTCCAGCCCAGGGCCCTATCAGCAGCAGTCCATCTGCTGCTGGGTCAGTGGGAATCCTGACCGCAACACACTGATATGGGTTCGGGGTCGGCCATCCCCGGGCCACTTCCCATCTCCTCCTCCATGGGTACCTGTGCGTCCTGAGCTTCGTCCGCCGTGTCCCAGATCATGGGCTCCTCAGGGCAGCGAGTGCTGGGTAGGTCGGGCCGTTCCTCCGGACCCTCGGTGAGGGGAAGTTCAGTCCGCTCCTCAGGATACCGGGCTTGGGCAGGTGCGGCCAGTCCTCCTCAGGACACCGGGCTCGGGGCAGCCACGGTGCGGCAGGAGCTCAGGCACCAGCGTCTGCCCTCTCCCGCAGTCGGGCCGCAACTGAGTGCTGGGGCCGGGCCTTTATACTTCCTGTCCCGCCCCTTGACTTCTGGGGGGTGGTGACAGGCGGTGACTCCGCCCACTCTGATGGCTGTTCTGGCTCATCCCTCATGCGGGTGGCTGGGAGCCAGGCTGCCTCACTACACGGCCCCTCCCTCAAGGCTGGGTCCCGGGTAACGGGGCCAGACCCTTCCATGCCCCCCAGGCGGGAAAGAAAGTCAGCATTCGCGTGTTCCTTCCCGGCCCAATGGCGAACGGTGAAGGCATAGGGCTGCAGCGCCAAATACCACCGCTGCAGCTGCATATTATGGTCCTTTATGCGGGCCAACCACTTGAGGGCAGAGTGGTCAGTGACCAAGGTGAACGGGGTGCCCAGGAGGTAATACCGCAGGGCGTCACAAGCCCACTTCGCGGCAAGGGCTTCCTTCTCCACCACCGCATAGCTTTTCTCGTGGGGGAACAGCTTCCGACTAATGTAGAGGACCGGATGTTCTTCGTCGTCTACCTCTTGGGAGAGGACCGCCCCGAGTCCCACGTTGGAGGCATCCATTTGCAGGACAAAGGTCCGGTTAAAATCAGGGCTATATAGGACCGGCTCCTGGCAGAGGCTTGTTTTGAGGGTTTGGAAGGCCTCATCACACTCGCGGGTCCAAATCACTTGCCGCAGACTGTCCTTGGTCAAGATCCCCGTCAAGGGGGCGGCAATCACCGCGAATTGGGGGATGAACCGTCGATAATATCCTGCCAACCCCAGAAACTGGCGTTTCGTGGCAGGCGGAGGGCAGGTTGCAATGGCCTGGTACCTTATCCACCAGTGGCTTTACCTGTCCATGTCCGATAGTATATCCCAGGTACGTGGTTTCTTGCCGGCCGATGCGGCACTTCTTCGGGTTGGCCGTTAACCCGGCCGCCCGCAGAGACCTCAGGACGGCTGCAACCCATTCTAGATGGTTCTCCCACTGAGGACTGTAAATGACTACGTCATCCAAATAAGCCGCTGCGTAATCTTGATGGGGTTGGAGGAGGCGGTCCATCAGGTGCTGAAACATGGCCGGAGCCCCGTGGAGGCCGAAAGGCATTCGGGTAAACTGGTAGAGGCCCATAGGGGTGGCGAACGTGGTCTTCTCCCTGGAAGCAGGTTCCAGGGGGATCTGCCAGTACCCCTTGCTAACGTCGAGGGTGGTGATATAGCCGGCCTCTCCTAGCCGGGCCAACAGCTCATCTATCCGGGGCATGGGATACGCATCGAACTTGGAGATGGCATTTACGCGCCTGAAGTCAATGCAAAATCATTGGGAACCGTCGGGCTTCGGTACCAGCACGACGGGGCTTCGCCACTCGCTGTGCGATGGTTCAATCACCCCCAAGTCTAGCATCGCCCGTACCTCCTCATCCACAATCCGTTTCCGGTGATATGGCAAGGGCCTGGTCGCGCCCCGAATTACCACCCCCGGCTCAGTCTGAATCTTATGGTATACCAGGGTGGTGGACCCCAGTTGGGCCGTGAAGGTGTACAAGAAGGCTCGCAGGAGGCACCGAGTCTGCTTGAGCTGGTCCTCCGTTAATGTCTCCCCAAGTTGGGGTTCCTCAGGGCCCTCGATGTGGGTTATCTGGAGCTCTAGCTCTGGTTCCGGCGGGTAGGGGTAATCAGCAGCCCTTCTGGTTCCCGCCAGGGCTTGAGGAGGTTGACATGATACCGCTGTATCTTTTTCTTCCGGTCGGGCTGGTTAATCTCATATGTAACTGGGCCCACCTTCTGGACGATTTCATATGGCCCTTGCCATTGGGCCAGGATTTTTGACTCGCTGGAAGGGAGTAGCAGTAACACCCGGTCTCCGGGTTGAAAGTCCCATGTTTGGGCATCCTGGTTATAAGTCTGGGCTTGTGCCTCCTGGGCGGCTTTCAAATTTTCTCGTGCCTGGGCCCCAGCCTGCTTAAGAT